CTTTCACATTACTCGGTACGATATCGGATCGACATTTTAGGTTTTTACCGAAAGTCTACTAACCACATGTATTTTAATTGGCACTTTCACATTAGTGTCACATACATGAAATCGGAGCGGATTCATTTCGGCCTACCGCACTGCAGTAAAACCGGTCAATAAGATCTGAAAATTTACTGCACACATTTTTGCGAAGAAGAAAGTAAGAAGTAAATAAATAAATATAAATATAACAAGCTATAACGTCTTTTTCTTCGCCAGAGGATATTTTTTTTAAATGATTTATGAAATTTTTCTACAAATTATATACCGAAAGTATTCCGACAAGTGTGCAGATAAGCGCAATGCGGAATCGTTTCGGTAAACCGAAAATAACGAGGAATAAATGTCGATCCGATGTCATACCGAGTAATGTGAAAAGACTCTTATAACGACAAAGACATATCACAGCCAATTAATATACAGCGGCTTCGCTGGCTCGGTCATGTCGTTTGAATGGCCACAAATGCTCCAGCGCCGGCAGAAGAGGAAGGCATCCTCTGAGGTGGAAAGATAGGGTGCATAGGGACTTGGCTTCAGTTGGCATCCAGAAGAGAAGCAATTGTAATGTTTTATTAGACGCAGCTAAAATGGCTTAAGCTTAGCTTGTCATGCTAATATCCTCTCCAAGTAAGCTTTCAAACTAGTGAGTATATGTATACTTATTTATTAGATGATATTAATTCTGAATATGGTAACGGATTTCATATTAACTACTCACTTGTCAATGGAAAGCTAATGGATACATTTGAAAAGAAACCCTCCGGTGGATGCCGAACCAAAGGCATTGCTATCGTCGGTGTAAATGTAAGTGATGTACCTGGTGGCAGCGCAAGTCGACCATCATCTGTTATCCACACCAAACGTTTTCGTCTGGAATGCGGTTGATTTAAATCACTATCAGAAACACGTTCTTTCTTAACTTTCCCTTTAAAAGAATTTTGGGAACTCTGACTACTGCTGTGTATGCTTACTGAAACTTGTTGCGTTGTTGTATTCAGTACATCTTCACTGGGCTTAGATCCTGTAGATTCCACTACGAAAANTGCTGTGTATGCTTACTGAAACTTGTTGCGTTGTTGTATTCAGTACATCTTCACTGGGCTTAGATCCTGTAGATTCCACTACGAAAATCATTGCTAATGCGAGTAGGAGCACATTCGTAGAAGTTAACTTTGTATTCTTGTGGTTGCGAATCTGAATTGTGTACATGTTTAACAATCAAAGCTGAAACAAAAAAGTGTAAGTCTTTTAAAATTATTTAATAATAAAAGCTGTTTTTACTGAACACATTTCTAGCTATAAATTATTACACCGGAGTGTACCAAAAAATTTTAGTGGTTGTTTTTAGCGCATACCCTCTCAATTTATCTGTTTTATGTTAACCCTTTCATGCTAGAATTATTGTTATTTTATTCAGTCTATGAAACAACATTTCTCAACAACTAGTAGAGAAAAAGTTTTATTACTGCTAATTCAAATATTAACATTACCAAGTAGTGCGAAGAAGATTTAGAAAAAAATGTTTTGTCGTATAGAAATCAATGGCGATACTTTCGGATAAAATTTTAAATTAATAGACCCAAAGACTGCGCCTAGGAACATCAAAACTTATCCTTTCCAAAAGATAAGTACAATCAATGACACCTTGAACAAATCTGTTGAAAGGTTAACGATAACATAGCTCTACGGTCTTTAAAAGACTGTAAATCTGAGTAGAGAAGGAACGGCGCACTCAAATTTCAGTGACCGTAGAGCAAATTTAAGGAAAACCTTCTGTGTATAAACGTTCTATTCTTTTGGGTGGTTAAGGGATCTACAAACGAATGTCACATATTCGAGATTAGAACGCACAAAACTTATAAATAACGTTTTCAAAGTACATACATATATTGGTACCACAAATTTGTACGATGCATAAAACCAAGTACTGAGTATTAAACTGACCAACCGTCCTCCTTTGAGGAAGATTGTCCTCCTCAGGCGTGATTTGTCCTCCTTTTGAGCAAAAATGTCCTCTTTGTTCTACTTTTCAAGTTTTATAGCACTGATGACATTTTCAATTTCGTTCAGAATATTATTATTGTCTAATCGTACACAATCATTGTATTTAAAAGGAGTTTATATTTTCCTACCTTCAGTTAAATGATGTAAACCTTTCATTCAACTAACCGCCTGTCAGAGTTGAACAGTGTTAATGCCTTATAGCCTTATTTAATACGGCTTTCTCACGGCACATCAATTACGTAGTTCGCTATCTCATTCGTAATTCGCACGAATTATGTAAGTCGCCATACTAAATTTTGAGAGCGAATTACCTCATTTGTTGGTAATTCA